TCCATAGACTTACCTTTTCTCTGCACACTGGGGGGGTCTTCAGTCTGATCCTGGAGCTCCGCCCACCTGTGACATCACACCTCACCTGCTCCATAATTACAGATTACAGCTCAGATTCTTCTTAAAGGGACATCACCATCATTTTACTCCTTGGTGGTCATTCTGCCCCGTCCACAGCAATCAGATCTCAGAAGTGGGAGGGGCATCGCAATATTAGCATGTCGATCACGTGGCAAATCTGCAATAATTGCCGCTGTGTGAGATCTCAGGACGAGGAGCCTCATTCATGAGATCAGATCTGGTTGTGTTGCCTTTGCCGGGTAATCAGCAGTGGAAAATCAGCAGCTTGGTATCATTATATGTAGACAGACGCAGGCTCTAGAGCTATCACCTGCTGATTCTGACATGGAACGCGCATGCAGCTGCGGTGAAGCCTGACCAGGTCCGCCATGTACTGAAGGCAGGATGAGGATGACGACCCCGCACACTGCACCTTTCCAAGCAAGACATCAGCGGCAGCTGCCATAATTATTCCAGTACAGGTTCACTTTAAATCTCTGACCCTGCAGCAGAAAGAGGACCTGTCATCCAGACACCAAAACCTGAGATTTACACACCCCTGCCAGACAGCACAGCCAGCTCCATGACCTGACATTTCTCCATTGCAGTCAAGCAATAAAGCCTGGTCACCTCCCGCCCCTAACTTCTGATTGGACAGTAAAGGAGCAGCAGAAGCCCCGCCCTCTTCTCATTATACTCTCACCTCTTCTCTAAAGAGTTCCGTCGTCAGCACATCTGATTGGCTCTTAGTGCTGCCCCTCCCCCCTCCACATGGCAGGTTCAGGTACTTCTACTAGCCGGATTTAAAGTGCCAAACATTTTATTTAAATTTTTTTTATGTGTTTAATAAAATATAAAGAAAAGTTTCAACCCTCTGACAGGTTTATGTGTCCCCGCTGGGGAGAGTCACCTTTCTGGTCTATCGCCCATTGTCTCTGAGGCTGAAGGTCCACAGATGTTGTGTCACCACAACAGGATTTGAGAGGAATTCTTCCAAATGGGGACACCTGTTCTTGTCATGACTGTCTAAGGGGGGAATAATCATTTTGGAGAGATTTCCTCTTACTTCCTGTTGAGTCATGAGACAGGAAGTAAAGAGAAATGTCCTCAATGGGACAGAGACAGCGGTTTTATCCACCTTCCTTTCCTATTCACAGCCAAAAGTTGCCGTTAATTACGCTTCCTCCTGCCTGCAGCAGACTGATCACTGCGGGGAGGGGAGACTGAGGAAACGCTTCCTCCTGCCTGCAGCAGACTGATCACTGGGGGAGGGGAGGAAATACTATAAAATACAGACACGTTTCTATCATATAATAACATTTATTTGCACATTTTAGATTTCGGAGACGACGTCACACAATATAAAAATCAGGAAGACATTTATAAAACTCGATATTCAGCTCTACACCTGAACCATCCTAATGGACTCCCGATGATCTATGTACAGCAGACGAGGATACATTGTTAGTGTTCACGTTATACATTTGTTATCTCGGATCTCAATTCACAGCATTGAAGACCTCGGGAGAGACCAACATGGAACGTTTCATATTCGTAGGAGGAAAATGTACAAATATTGCGGCAAGTTAGTGACAGGAGAGAGGTCATTGGGTACAGTGCAAAGGATCTGTGAATACATATCACGCGTGTGTCTGGTATGTGCTCCACCACGTGTTCTGCCTTTATGTGTTGGATGGTGAAGAAATGGAATGCTTGAGGCTATATTGTGTCCAATTTAATATAAGCGCATCAATACACGTACCATTGTGCCTACATATAAATGAGGAGATATTTATATACCAATATATCACCGCTCTCCAACTATTGTATATACGCTATATTACCAAAAGTATTGGGCCCCTCCCCCTCCAATTCATTGGATCTCATGTGCGTGTAAAGGCCGGCGTCCCAATACTTATGGCAATATAGTGTATATACACAGCTATGAGGCTCAAGACACAAGAGTGCCCAGGACCAGGGAACATTTTTAGATGTCACATTTATCACAGCAAATCCTCCATTATTTTAGTATTGTTCCACTTGAACACAGTTTCTGCCGGAGCTCCTGTATACTTCCCGCGCAGTGATGGGATTATATTGTCAGATCAAAATCAGAAGTTACAATTGTGTGTTCAGATTCGTCGTAAATAAATACTGATAATCTGATCTGAAATCTAAGAAGAAGCTATTTATATACAAATGTCAGTTTTCTTCTACGATTTCCCGCTTTTATAGAGACGTCTTTTCTACGGAATTATGGAAAAAAATAACTAAAATATCTAATCCAAAATAAAGGGAAATCATTCCTAATAAAAGTCTAATATTGCAAAACACTGAATAGCAACAGCGGCGTCTCCAATGTACCAAAGAGGAGGCCCAGCCGGCCCCCTCAGTACATGAGAGTTATATCCAGCCATTGCCGCAGAGCACCAACTGGCGATCCGTGAACCCCGGCTTCAGGAACCGGAGGGGGGAACACACCCAAATGACCCTGCGAGGTGCCCTCTGGATTCTGGCTGCAGAGGATTATAAAGGATTTAATGTAAACAGAGTAAAGTTTAGCACAGTTGCAGTGTATGCTGGAGAGCGCTCGTAGCTAACCGATTGGTTTCTCATTGAGGCCTGGAATAGCAATTCCAGCTTTGGGAACTTTATACTGAATTCCTGTCTTCAGACATTATAATATATTACTGACGTTGTACAAAAGGAACATACACATATTTTGAACAGGTTTTGATGCCACAAGAGTTTCATCAAGCAAAGTTTTTTGTTTTCTCTAATGCAATGAATGCTCCATGACCCCGGGCGATGGCACCCCCGCAGCATTCTGTTATCATCTTCGGTCCGGGTGACACATGCGATCGGGGCGGTGAACTGGAATCTGTGATCACGAGACTTGCCGACCAGCTGATCTTTCTCGAGGGACCGAAAACTATTATTTAAATTGTTCCATCTGAAACAATAAAGAGCGATAAAGATATTGTTATTATTAAATTATAAATATTTTTTATACAATGAATCAATTCAGGAAAAGATCAAAATTCACAGTAAGGCCTTGTTCACACCAAATGCAGAGCAGATCCGGTCAGGTTTCTGCACACGCACGCTAGTCTTTTAGATGCGTTTTTGACGAGTTTTTGGCTAAAACAAAAAAAAATTAAAATAGGCTTTCAGTGCATTCCAGGCATTTGCATGCGTTTTTGATGCGTTTGCAGATCCAGAGCAGGTAAAATAGGGCTTGCTGCATTTTTTTCACCTGCTCTGGACCTGCTCTGGATCTGCACGCTGCGATGTGAACTGGAGCAAAAAATACCATAGGAATACATTGGACGCAGTTTTGATCCGGTCTGCACCTGCTCTGCTCTGCGCTTGGTGTGAACAAGGCCTTAAGGTCACATGCACTTTTACCCCTTCCTGCCAGCTGTTAAAAAAAAAAATCTTGCTTTGTAATGAAGGGGAGGGGTTTCATGGGCTTCCTGATTAAGTGGTTCCCTGTGATTGGCTGTTAGTGATCACGTGACCTGGAGCCCATCCTACCAGCTCCCATTCATCACAATTCAGTAAGGGCCCATTCACACTAAAGTGATCTGTGCGGCTTGTCAATGCACATGTGTTATGGCGCACATTAATATGCGCTGGGTTATGACAGTGCATTGATTATGAATGGGCGGCTGACACACAAATCATTCCTGACACAATTGATTCATAATAAAAAACTAATATTGGGAAACACTGTATACCAATGGCAACAGCTGTGTGTTCAATGTACTCTTCATTTAGAGCTGAGCAATGGGCTGCCAACGTACCACAACGGATTAGAAAACTGTACGTGACCCTTTATATAGAAATGCTGCGCACCCCAACACACGGTACATGCATTGTGGCGTGCTGCGATACGTTGTACATTGGGCTCTACTATGCAAAGCTATAGCGCAGCATTTCTTAACCTCTTTTAAGCCACGCACCCTTTAAAAGTATGCAAAATCTCGAGGCACCCCAGTGTAAAATGTGGATTCTAAGGGGGGACCCCACACAAAAACATAAAACGTGGTATTCCCCATCTCTTTTAGAGCCCCCCTTTCAAATTAGAATTCTCCTTTACATCAATAGCCCCCCTTTACATTAGAAGCCCGCTCCTTCACATCAGAGTCTCCCTTCATATCAGGAGCGCCCTTTCACATCAGAGCCCCCCCATTTATATCAGAACTCCCCTTTCACATCAGAGTCTCCCCCATTTCACATCAGAGCCGCCCATTTATATCAGAACTCCCCTTTCACATCAGAGTCCTACCATCACAAAATTTCAAGGCACCCCTAAGGAAGTCAGGAGGCATCCTGGTTGAGAAAGACTGCTATAGGGAGCCATTCACAATAGCTGGCACCACAATGCACCATACATAGAGCAAGTGCATTGCAAAGCATTGTGTCAATCCGGGTTAATGTGTGCATCTTAGCACAAGTTGCAGAGTTATGAATAGCGCACCTCCCCCCCCCCCCCCCCCCAACAAAAAATATGATAGTTGCTTCATAAATCACACTGCATAGGAATGATTATTGCAAAAATAAGTGCCAAAGCCAATTCGGGGGTCAGTGAATTGTAGCAGATGAGAGCGGAGCCTGGAGTATATGTAACAGATCAAAATGGAGCAAATAAGAGAAGTACATTTTTAGGGTTCACATACACTTAACCCCTCTCTGCCAGCCGTTAAAAGAAATCTTGACTTCAGAATGGGCTTCATGATGAAGTGGTCCCTGTGATTGGCTGCCACAGTGATCATGTGATCAGGAGCCCATTCTACCTGCTCCCATTCATCTCTCTGTCACTGGCAGCTGTGGGTGATGGTGCGGTCACAGTGCTGGTGGTGGGATTGAGCATGGAATGTGGCAGCATGGAATAAGGCCCACCTCCAGGTACCATGTATATGCATATAGCTGGTGGGAAGGGGATAAAAAAAAAAAACAGACAAATGCTGGCAGGGTGTGCTGAGATTGGTAGTTCCTTGGTGCTGCTGACAGTGGACCACTAATGCATTAGAAACCATTTGTAAGCCCTGTAATGTGAGTCCCCCCTGAAGACATGCAGAGTGCTCCCGTATTGATTTCATGTTATGAGTGGAGGTGAGATGGAAGACGGCTGGTTGTACTCATGCAATGGGATTGGACAGGATCCCCCCCACAGACAGGTGTTACATGATGTACAGACAGCAAATCACTGAACAACAATATGGACGGGTCGATGCGAGCGGAGGTGCGGAACGGGTGATGGGAATGCGGTCTGGCAGAGCGATGCCATCGTTATTTAGAATCCTCATTAACTGCGAAAATAAAAGTGCTACCGGAACATTCAAAAAGTGGAAGGAAAATATTCCGAGTCTAAAAGCTCCCATTCCGGAGTCTGAGGAGATACTCCGCCTCTGTATAGATGTATAGTAGTTTAACCCCTTCAGCTCTTCCCCTGTA